AGGGAAGGAGGAGAGAGGGAGCGTGCACCGCGAGTCACTCTTCCTGCGGGTGTGATGCGCGCGGTGGGCTGCGACGGCTGTGGAGGGCGGCATCCTTTCGGTGTGCGCTTCTCCGCCGTTGTGCCGTGCGTTTGCGCATGCCATTTATTGTGCGCGTGCGTGCTGGGCATGTTTTTCCGGAGCGTTGGGCGGCCACCATCTGTCTATGGCGGTTTGTGTGAGCGGGCACGTGCGGACGAGGGTCAGGGCGTATGGAATGAGGGAATGGCTTGAGGAAAGGGGAATTTGATTTGGAGGGTATTTGGACCAGATTCATTTGGCTGCGGTGGACACATGCACGACGGATGTGTTTCTGCATAATGGGGGAGGATGCGACAGGATTTTCCGAATTGGCCCGTCAATGCAATTCGGGTTTCATGGCACTGAGGCACAGTGGTCTTCCTGCAATGGCTGGTGACGGCCCCTAGTGGACCGGCGTATTTATGCTGCTGCTGCTGCTCGAGGAGGCGTAGAAGTGCGATTTGAGGTGAGCGACGGAAGGGTCACACATCCCGCAGTGACGGTTGTCGTTGGCCCACCGGGTGCCTCTGAGGTTTTGTTGGATGCAACGTCCTTATGCCCGTCTCCGGATGGCGGCATCCCTGATGCAGCCAACGAAAGGGACTGGGAGCGACGGTGAGACGCAAGCACGTGTGGATGTTCGGAGCGGCCGGCACACCGCACGCTGAGGGCATGGCACGGTGAGGGCCGGACCTAGAAAAGGGACACCGCGTGGGACGTCAATCCTCACTGCAGCGACCGCCACCGAATTCGGATTTGCTCGCACCTTCTGCGGTCCCTCTTCCTCCCCTCACTTCTGTGCCGAGGACTGTGCCGCGGGATCCAGCAGCGCGATGTTTGGCTGCAGGAACATGGCCCGAACAACTGATGTGTGTGTGTGTGGGGGGGATGTGCACTGCGAAGAAAATGAAAAAAATGTTGCGAGACGAACACCACGACAAGACCGGAGTGAAGTTGTGTTTTGTCCACTTGCGCGAGGGCGGCCTGCCACCTGGTCGGTTAGGAGGATTATTTTTTTGCGTTGTTGCGCTCTCTTTATATTCCGCTGCGTTTTCTTGCGGACCTGCGAGGGGAGATTTGCAAGAAATTCCTGCGAGGCGTCCGTGCCGCCGTCGGAAAAGCGGATCCCCCTTGAAAAACGCTGCTTTTTAAATTTGTTTTGGGCGGGGGGTTCCTGTCGATTCACTGCGACTTTGTTTTGCGGATTTGATGCGTGTGTTTCCGAGCGGTTCGATCAGTGCTCCCAGCCCACTCGGATGTGGTGTGCGCGTCGACGTGAAGGTGCCTGCCAGTCGTTTTATTGCCTTCCCCGCTGTGGCTGCCGCCGCTGCCTTCTTCTCTTCCTGAGATCCTGCGGCTTCTTGACAAGATGTTTTGGGGAAGGCGTTGCCGCTCTTATCGTCCATGGTATTTTGATTCTGGTGTCGCGGTCAGGAGACATTGAACGAGAGGGTTTGCTGCCCTTTTGTTTTATTTGTCCTCTCTGCCTGACGGCCAGTTCTACACAAACGTGCTCCTCGGCATCTCAGTTGGTGCTGGCGGGATTGCTTACGGTTGTCACTGACAATCGCATGCGCCACCTCTTCTCTGCTCATTTTCAGTGTCGCATTTTTTATTGATTGACGGACGCCATTCTGTCCGGCGTGCCACCTTGATTGGATTGTGTGGGACTGCTCGCCAACGCCATCGGAGAAAGCAGGCCGACTTTTCACGTATTTAATTGCATCTTGCGCGCAGGTATTTTTTTCACATGTTCTGTTGGGCACTCAGACAGCGAGGTGTCCGGAAATATGCGTGCGTGGAATTCTTCCCGCCATGTGAACTGCGGGCAACACCGCGGGGCTGCCACTTTGACTCCGCAGAGTTGTTGCGTCTCTTTGCGGGGTTGGCAGGGAAATTCCATGTCTTCTGTTACTGCTGGTTTGTCCTCAAATGTTGTCACTCCATGCGAATAATGTGCTTCAGCGAGTGAGGGGGTGGTTGGGTTTGTGTGCACTCTGATTCTGTTTGCTACTTTTTGCGGGCACGCAAAACCTGATTGGTGGTAAAATGGAGCGGGGCGATGCATGGCTGCGTCTCGCCCATCGTTCACTGCACGATGGTGTGGTGCACATTGTGGTGCTTCCTCTGCGATGTGACTGCGGTTTCCTGTGCGGCAATGGTGGTGGGTGGAGGGGAGTGTTGATTCTCGGCGGGACGGTGGGATCGTGCCTCCCTTATTTTTCTTTTGTGAAGGTGTGCACTTATTTTTTGTGTCGGTGATGGGGCAAAGCGACAGACAACGTGGATAAAACAAAATAAAAAAGGGCGATAGTGTGGCGGTGTGTTGGGGTTGGTTGCACGCCTCGCGTTGCTTCGGGGGCGGTGGGCCTCGACTGCTTCACCGACAGGAGTTGCAGTGCGGCTGCATGGCGCACCGACCACCGAGCCGTGCGAGTGCCACGCCTAACGCCGTTGGGACTGCGGGACGAAGCAGCCGTGAGTGTCCTTTGGAGCCAGCGGCACCTGCTGGCCGCAGTTGGGCGGTGCGACTGGGATGCTTCACCGCACGGGTGTTGTGGTGGCACCTCGCCGTGGCTCTTGTGATGGTTCCGACGCTGCAGCTCGACGTGTGGCGGGGAGTAAAGTGTGGCCGCGGTGGACCATAAGCAGCACCGTAGAGGAAATCCTGCAGGAGGAAAACACTAGCAGCACCAACATGAGGCTGAGTGATTTCCTTTGGAATTATGTTGGCGGCAGGGCGGCCGTTGATGAAAGACTACAATGTGACGATGGAGGTGTTTTTCAGGAGCCGGATGATTGCGTACAAGACCAGCGGCTTCTTGAAGAAATTCTTAACTTAACTGCGCACCAAGCGCTGGAGGCCATTACTAAGCCGCTTCACGAAGGTGTGTTCTCTCTCGGGCAACGTAGGGACTATGAAAGAAAATCATACAATCACTCCTCTTGCAAGGGGAATACCAAACGGAGTACTCACGCAGGTACTGACGGAAGCGAGGCGGGAGGCAGAGGGAAGGCTAAGACGAACGCAAGAAATGAAATTTACCATTTCCACTAATATCGATGGTGTACTGTTTAAAGGAAGAGTTCGCGTCAATGAAATGAAGCTGAGCGACTATCTTACAAGAGAACTGGACGGCAGGGGCGTTGTGGACACCAATCGGGATGTCTTGCTGGAGGAGTTTTTCAAGGACCCCACGAAGTATATCCACGATAAAGGAGCGTTGAACGAAATACAGGCATCGGATCGTTATTTGAGTATGAAGCGAGCTGTGAAGGGTGAAGCGATCTTCGATGAGGATATACGCAAGCTATGCGATAAGGGTGTCAACAATCCACCGGGGTGGTCATTAGCTGCTGCGGAGGCAAAAGCAGCTGTTCATAACTCCAATAAACATTTTTTGGATGCGGCTGCCGGGGAGGCGAGGAACCCAACGACGACGAGCGCACCGGAGAAACTGGAGGGATGCTACGAGTCTGTGCACAATGCGAGGCGGAGCCATGCGGTGGAACTTCCGGACGGCGTGGAGCGAAAGAAAACGGGGATGGGAATGGGGGTGCATGAGGGGAAGCCAGAACAGTCATGGACGTACAATAAAGCTGACGACGCTATCGAAAAGAATGACGCTGTGCAGCAATCCGGTGCGGCACCTCCCGTGTTGATGGTGCTCACCTCGGACAAGGGATGGCCGTACTCGCGGAATACGATGCAGGATCTTTCCAAGGACGTTTTTGTAAACTGTGGGGTGGGTCGAGTGTGGCAGATCGTCAAGGGCGATCTAACCGCGTGGCTCAGCCCTCACGGTGGTACCGACTTTACGCCCAAGCGACGTGTGCTGATTGGGACGCCCGGGATCGGGAAATCGGTGGCTGTCGGCTCGTACCTCCTCTACCAACTGCTGCACTGCGATGTCGAGAAACTCCAAGTAGTTGTCCACTGTTTTGGTGGAGGAGATGCGTGCGTGTTTGACAAGACCACCAGAGCGGTGACAAGATACGGCGATGAGGACATGTGCATCTCTGAGTTGAGAAGTCTGAGGGGGCCATGGGAGGAATGCGTATATTATCTACGATGTGGCAAAGGAGGGAATGCCGCCACCGAGACATTTTGCGCCCACTTCCGGAAGGGGCATGATTGCGGTGTCATTCCCAAAGGTAACAACTGTGATGGGTGGGCGAAGCAACTACGAGCCGCGCGAATCATCGTGAAGTGCCCCGACGAGATGGATGTGAAGGCGATGTGTGCCTGGATAACGCGTGATGAGACCAAAGAGAAACAAGCGGAATACTGGAAGAGGTCGAAAAACACATGTATCTTTTGTGACCGATTCCACGTCACGTCTCTGATGAGGAGGCGTTTACGGAACGCTGTGAAGCGGTGAGGTTTGCATTGCAATCGATCAACGAGGTAACTGTGAAAGAGTACTTTCCACGGGGAGGTGAGTCGCCACGGTATTCTGAGGATCCGTCTCACAAGCCTGTGAAAGTTGTTCGGGAAATATACGAAGGCGGCGAGAGCCTTTTCAATGCACCGATATCTGATTGCCTCGAGGAACGGGCATTGGAACGCTTCCCAAGTGCAACAGAATAAGATGGCTTTTTGAGGCTGATGTTGGCGTCGAAGGATAATATTTTGCCAATATTTTTTGGATGGTTTGCTTTGAAATTGTGCACGGAGAGTGCCTTTGTCAAGACAATAGGGACGAAACTCACGGAGTTTGAGCCACCAACAGGACGTCAAGCAAAGCCCTGCGTCTTGAAGTTGGCCCCTGAATTGCATCCCAAGGGAGATGAAGGTTTGCTGCCGAGTGAATATGAAAAAACGATCCGTAAAATAAAGTACGGGGTGCTGTACAAACCGGCGGTCGCAAACCTTCCGCTGGTGGACGCCTTTTTTTTCTTGGTGTCCAATCCAATGACTATGGTTGAGCTGCGGATGTCTGCGGCGGGTGGACACCACACCACCGCCAGCACTGTGAGGCAGTTCACTGAGTGCCTGGCGGCATATTTTAATGGTTGGGAGGAATCATCCCAAGACATGTCGTGGGAGATTATTTACGTCCAACAGGCAGACAGCACGCCGATGAACGACTGGCAGAGATGTGATGTTGTCGATTCCAATAATGTGAGCGACGCGGAACCCTATGAAATAGCGGCGTTCTGGAGGGAGAAGGTGCGCCAGTACCCAGTGTTAATATCGTCCGGAGAATTTTCAATGGACGAAGCTCTCCGAAGTGTGCAATAAAATAAATAACAATAGGAACATAGATTGGGAAATTGAAAGTGAACGAGACAGCTTGATTTGTGTTAAAAATATTGTGGGTTTATGTATTTTTGGATGCTTGTGT